TCATTCAGTGTTACAGTGATAAATGCTAAGCTGACAGTCACTGATATTAAGTCTTACCTCAAGTGAAGTGAAACACACTGAACTACTTATAACTACCATCATAGCTGTAGAACAAACCCTTTGTACATTGGAATAAAACAAAAGATAACTTGTTCTTCAAACAGAGGGTTTAACGTCTGGTCAGTATATTGTAACTCTGAAAGAATGATTGAAAAACTAAAACAGAATTACTTATTCTTTAACTTAAGAAAATAGGTTCTTTCAACAGTAACATTTTTTGTTTTGATTATGTCAGCCATCTCCTTCGTAATAGTCTTCCTGTAATGCTCTGAAAACAGGAGATCTTCTTCTTGTCTTCATTTCCTGGAAGCAGCTCTTTGAAGGTGTCCAGAAATGCTCAGAAATTACAGCTGTTCTTGCAAAAGTTGTGGTCAGTGATAATCATGGTGAAAGCCTTTTCATGAATTCAAACTTGGTGAATCTCTTCTGGTCCTTCTCATAGTGGGTGATAAACACACAAAACAATGTGATCTTAATTCAGCATTTATTTAAATACCATTCCAAAAATGTCCCTTGCTGCACATTGTCAGAATGATAGACTGGCAGACAAAGGTCTAGTTAACATAACTGGTGGCTATAAAGTGCAATACAATTATTTCTTAATACAGGTAGCATTAGCTCCTGTTTAGCTCTAGTCATCACTAGAGCTAAACAAAATTATTCTGATCAAATATTTGTTTGGCAGAAGTTTATACAGTCTGTTGTTATTCAGAATGCATCATTTAATGTATAATTTCAGGCACATGAGTGTATCTTTTCACTTAATGAGCATTCAAGATTATTTCCACACAAAAATTAATATTTCATCTGCTTCTATCTCTTTGGTCAAACAGGAACTTCTTTCTCTGGTGGCTGGTCCTTATTATCATCCTCCACACTCGTAGCATGTCTTCATTAGCCAACTTTGTCCTCCCCACCATGTGTCCTTAGGCTAGCCTGGCTCTTCATGTGGCTAAAGTTTCCAAAGCAAAGAACACAAGCACTGTGTCACATCAGCCAAGTTGCTAAATAATGCACATAAAGGATAACTTTGACTAACATATTAGCTTTTAATTTGCTAGATTAAAATTGGAGGGGAAAATTAATTTGACTGTCTTTAAAATATGTTTAATATTAAGGGCTAACTTTACAGTAATGGAGTTTAATAACTTTAGCTAACATTAACTTACAGCAAGGTAGGATTGGCTTGAATTGCTTATAGCTAACATTACAGAGAAATAGAACATAGTCTATGTTATTTTCTCAAAGAAAATGTAAAGTTAATAAGACGCATACCTCATATGTATTAGGTATCAAACTTCGGCTTCTTTTTAAACAGGAGGTTTGGCCATTATAACTTGTGTTGGGTAGGCCCCACGATTGAAAGATTTCTTCTTTATCAACACACTGCACGCCTGTTCGTGCACTACTGCCTCTCACTGGTGGAGATGGTGTATTGCACTACTTAAAACAGCCTTAAATAATGTTTCAAATGCTAAGTTCATAAGTGCTTTGTAGACATCTTACTGTAAAACTTTAGGGTCAATTAAATTCAGAAATTTAAGACTAAACAAAATGGCAGCGCAATAAAATATTACCATATAAAGCTACATAATTTTTAAAGTTTAATCAGTAATACTTTTATAACAAATTTCTGTCAGATCATGATTTCTTGGTTAATGTCAAGTTGTCAACAAAGACATTTTTGTCTCAATAAGGGTCAAGTGGTCAAAGACATTTTGAGTTATGTCAACTTTGTATTAAAAGTGTCATGATTTACTGAATGACACTTTATGACAACAGTCATAAATATTCATGAAGACTTATTGATGTTCATGACAGGTGTTATGTCATGTTTATGACAGTGTCATGACAGTCTTATTCACAACCCATCAAATAAAGTGTTACCGTGGTTGCTATGATGATCATAATAAATGAGCCAGAACCTTATTGCCTTCACATCAAACGCGTTTCGTACGTCAGGTGTGTCTGGTTTACATTCAAAATCCATGTGGAGGCACATCGATGGCCCATCGTGGCGCGGCTCGCAGAGCATTTGACGCGTCAAAGCGTGTCCAACAAATAAGCCAGCAATGGGAAGACAACAGCTAGACCAATTTTGACATGCCCTCGACACGTTTTTTTTTTTTTTTTTTTTTTTAACTTCAAGAAGTCTCTAGAGAAGTCTGAAAATTGATTAACATAGCGACAAAGTGGATAAATTGATAGTGCTTCTTTCGTCCTGATCACACCCCGACCCATCTCCTCTGCTCATCTCTTGATCCCTTGGATCAGCCATATTTGTTGAATTTTTTCTAAATTTGCTATGGGTGGGATTTAGCTTTCAGAGGTTAGTTACACTTTAAAGAGTCACGCATGCTTTCAAAAGAATAGCTATTGAATTTGATCAGTTTTCTTCTAATATCTATTGATATAGGCTGTTATCTATAGATCGATATAGAACAGAGAGATACATAGCCACACAGGCACACCCACTAGAAGGAAACAAATTCACCCTCGAGGAGGTTCTCACTGACACATTTCATTCATTCTATTGGCAGAGACGGTTGCCAGGCTACGGTACTTTTTTGTGTTTTGAGAGAGTAGAAGAGAATTTGCAAGCGAGCAGAGAGGTTTGCAAGCAGAGATTTGATCTGAGCAGAGAATACAGTGGATATTTGAAAGAAAGAAGAAGTTTTGAGTGTAAGCATTACAAGTTTTGAGAACAAGACATGAAATCCTGCTTTCAGACTGAAATTGTGTGCTCTCGACTTATGGCAGTGAAATTCCCCCATGTAAGTCCCATTTACTAAAGGAACTCATAAACTGTGTTTAGTCTTTTTTTTACTGGTGTAAATCTCTAAATTGACAACTTTGCTAGGAATTTGAAAAATAGCATACTGTAGTTTTCAACCACCACCTGAGTTTGTTTTTTACATATTCATAATCACAAGAAGTATGTTTTCATGTCTAAGCCTGAACTTTTTTTAATTGTACAGGTACATGATTCCATGTCACTCGAAGGCAGCACACTTCGACATTGAATGGGGAAAGGAGGATGATTCAAGTCTTCTCATAGGAATTTATGAATATGGATATGGCAGCTGGGAGATGATCAAGATGGACCCGGACCTAAATCTCACACACAAGGTAAGTTCACACCATCTCAATGCAGTCTTAGCTTTGACAGGCTACTAAGCCAGGAAATTATGCAGAAATATGATGGATGTTAAATAATATGGGTGTGTTATCAACCCCATACTGGTATGGGGTTGATAATCCTCCCATTCTTGCCAGTCCTCCTTGTGAGGGATTGTCAAGGAGATTACATTGACACTATGTGACTTTATCAATGGACTCTCATGACTCTTCTCTGTTCAGGGTTTTTATCAAACATCAGACTAGCTCACCTAGAATTATCCTGGTTCCTCAGATTCATTAATCCTGGCATGGATCTTAGGAATAAATTGATTTTCACTGAAAAGAAAGTCAAGACCAGTAAGACAGAGTCAAAGTCAGTAGCATACTTTCTAATTTGATTGTAGTTATTACACAATTTCAGTTTATTATTAAAACTGATAGTTTTCTGTCTTGGGAACCTCCCCGGCTCAAGAAGAGTTTATCGAGGGGGGGAGGGGGGCGCAGATTATATTAAAGTAAAACAAGATTTACTTTAATAATAAATACGTAAACAAACCTTTATGTAATATTTCAAATAAAATAACCATGTTTATTAATGCAAAATAAACAGTAAGGATATTAACATTGACATGTATAAAATGCTGAGTAATTATACTCAAATTTTCATAAATATTAGCTCATATGTTGCAGAAATCTAATGTTTCCAATCTCTGAAGACCATTTCTTAATCCAAAATCAATCTAATCAAGAAAGAGTAAAAATAATATTAGTCAAGTAAGACAACAAAGTGCAGTGCATTAAATCTACTCTTTATTTTTCCCAAAAAAGGGGTAACCAGTACTACCCACTTTTGAACATAGATAACAACAAAATTAGTAGCCTGTTCTTGTTTAACAAGGTCAACGTGATATATTGGCATTATCTAGTCATCATTTAGCTAACATTACCTGTATTGAACAGCTTTACTCAACTAACTCGGTTAGCTTGGG